ATTTACTTCCATGTGAGTGTGTGTGTGTGTGTGTGTATGAGTACGAGTGCGCTTGTGTGTGTATGCAATCAATGCCTTTTGGCTTTTGCCGTTTTGCCTTTAGCCGCCGTCTGTCATCGATGAAAGCCGCAATTGGCATGTTGGTACAAACATACCCGCACACACACACACACACCCAGACCCACACACACACATACAAATGAAAACGTAAAAGGCTCTGGTCGCTGTGTGTGGACACCTCTCCATTCAACTTTTAAATTTTGATTTCTTTATATTCAATAACAGTATTATTTGATTTATCATTATGCCCTCATCTCCAAACATTCTACTTCTTTGGAATCAATCGGAACTGCGTCATTGATCTCTATTTTCAATATAAAATACGCCAGAGATATATCACTAAATAATTAATTACTCAGCATTTTTGCAGCATAATATCCATAATTTGTGGTGTAAAGTCACTTGAACTATAAGTTCGGTTCATTGAAGTTATTTTAAGAAATAATCAGCACAATTTATTATTTCAACTATTCAGAATTGATCTAGAGTTGTAAATTGTGCCTGCAAAAAGAGAGGAAAATAATAGTGATAGTTTAGTCCCTCGTTGGGAAAAAATATTGTGACTTAAAAGCTGCTTAAGATTTGAGCCAAGAAACGAAAAATATTTCGGGGCTTTCAGCAAAGTCTATGTCTTGTAAGGGTTTTTTGTTTGCCAGTTTTGTAATTTCAAAATTGATCTTATTCAAAACCTTGGCTTGACTGGAATTATCTTGCGTATTGGATAGTGTTAAAAGTAATCCGTAAAATTATACGCGAAAAATAAAAATTTAAGTCAAATGCGAGAGAGAAATGTGTTCACTGTTAAGACTAACTATTCAAGCTACGACCATATATATTGATTTGTCAGCATTTTTAAAAATAATAGTCCTTCAATAACAGTTTTGTATAAAGTACATTTTTTGAGCCGCCATTCACAAAACTAGTCTTCTTTGCAGCTAATCGATGTGATGAATAGATAAACACTCCACGTCATATATAACTAGTGTTTTATGTTTTAAATCTGTTCATAATTGATCAGTACTTTGCATTTCGCATCTGTTATCACAGATATTTGAAAACCTAATGCCCATTACACATTTTCAGCATTACAAATTTTAAAACTTAATTAATTTTGGCGTTTAGTGATAGTCGCCCTAATTGCATTTTAATTGTGTGAATGTGTACATGCATGCAATTCAGTGTGGTGGGGTGTGAAATGGATGTGTTTGTCTAAATAATTTACAAATCAATTGAATGAAATGCAAATGCTTTTGTCGCAGGTCGGGCGATACATAAGAGGTGCAAAAGTGACGGTTATCTAAATACACATGTACAAAAATGTGGTGGCAAGGCATAGTTGTTGCATAGCAGTAGTATAGTGTGTGGAAGGTAGAAAAGGCAGTAGAAATAGTAGTACTAGTAGTAGAGATAGTAGAGTAGCAGTAGTTAATGTAGTTGCATGAAATCATTTTTGCATACTCATTGAGAGGCGTGAATACCAAACCACTTTGTGTGTGGCTTTTGGTTGGTTGTTGTTGTTGTAGTTAAACGATAGCAGTAGTTGTTGTTATAGTTGTTGTTGTATTGGCAGTGATGATGGTGATTGGTTGTTACAGTTGTTGTTGTTGTAGTTGTTGCAGTTGTTGCAGTTGAGGGTTTGTTGTTATTGGTTGTTACGAGAGTTGGGGAATGACAAGAACGAGTACAGACAACGAAAGCAAATGATGCATTAAACATATGTACATAGTATATGTATGTATATGTATATACTTGTACATACAAACACACAGATAGATATAACAACATCGATATGAGTGTCATGTTGATGGACAGATTGGCCGCCGGACAACATTGAATGTGAAGGCACAACATAAAAATTGAATTAGCTTCAAAATATGCAAAGTTATGTCCGTTTTCTGTGCTCACACAATGAAATTTTTGCATTTGAAAAAAAGTTTATGTATTGAACATACACAAAGGGATGCTTTTTCTTTTATGACACACTGTTACAGAGCAACACATAAAATAATTGCCGTTAATTAACACTTTTAATTAAATTGGAACAAAAATGCAACATGAATGTGAATCGTACAATGTGATGTTTTTTCTCTCTTACTTTTAGCAGAGTGTGTGCAAAAAGCGAAAAACAAAACAATGAATGCTTTTGCAGCTTATTGATATTAATTTACAAAATATTTGCCTAATTTTTTGTTATTTGTCTGACTATACTCTTGCAAAGGGTGTTGTGTGGTTCATAAGCATATTACGAGTCTTTGAATCGGACGATTTTCAAATATAGTACATACTATGAGTTTAAAATCATGTGATTTGTTTTAGTACCTATTATAATTTTAAATTCTTCTTTGCTTGATTAAGTTTCATATTAAAATTACTAAGTGTCTCTCAAATTGGAATTAAAATAATAATATTTAATAATATTTATAAAGCTACCTCATCAAGCTTGTTGTCCTGTTACATGTCACAATTACACAATTATTTTATATATAAATTAGTTTCAAAATATCATTTGGTCTTGGAAATTTATTAATTGAAATATATTGGTAAGCTGATTTTAAGCGGTGGCCGAACATTCTATTGAAATCTTTCCTGTTTATATATTTTATTGAATTATAGCTAAGATTTGAAACGATGTCTAAAATAAAAGTAACCTTTTCTGTCTCATTCAACACTAACGCTTATCCGATTTTTTATTTCTGAAAGTATATAAGCTGTAATTTAATTTAAAGTCTATATCCAACTCCACGTACTTTTTAAAGATATTGCTTAGACCACCCTCTGAAGATCGTAAAATTGCAGTATTATTTGTATTATTACGCATATATCTGCAAGAGCATTAAGGCCTCGGCATGCCAAAGCTATTTGTTTTGTTTGTTGAATTGTTGCTGTGAACCAAAATAAACAATAAGGATGGCGTTTGTATAATGTTAATGCTTTTAATTATTGGTATGCTTTTATTATAATTAATAGGTTTTTTTAGTTCTAGTTTGTTTATTTTTGTTTTTGTATATACCTTAATGAAAATAATGAAAGTAATGTAGAATATGTACCTGGGTGGCATTGTGCCCATCATTTTGTTGGCTTTTGAGTTGGAAACTGCGTCGTTAGTGGGCAACAAAATATTTGCTTTTTCAATATTTAATTATGCATTGAAAGGGCAAAGCTTAATTAATGTTTATTTGTATTATTATTTGTTGCATGGCGCGTACGTAGTAAAAAAATATGCATTTGTTTGCTTTTTGTTTTATTAGTTTGCATAGTTTCGGTTTGTTTTTTCTTTTTAGATTTCTTTACTTTGTTTTCAGGGTTTGGTGAATGTCGTATGTGCCCGTTTTGAGGAATTTCGTTTTTTTCTTTGTTCGTTTGGTATTTATGTTATTTTTATTTTTTCCTCTCTTGGTTTTTTCTTTTTTTTAGGTTGGGGCGGGCGGTCGCAACGTAAACAACAACACAACACAAATGCCCTCAATGAATAATTGACATTTTCTAAGGACACGCGAGACACACTTAAATTAACATAACTTGCGCACATCTGTGTGGGAGTAGAAGGGTAAAAGAAATATGGCACATAAATACGAGTACACAGAGCAAAAAGGTAAAATATTGAATATGTTGTTGAATACTCGTATTCATTTATTTTACAACTAATATTAATTGCTGTAAATCATTAACTGTACGTTGCACATAAATTAAAACAGTTAGGTGTTTCTCTTTGTGTTTGTGTTCGAGTGTGTATCTGTGTGTTTGTCAATTCGTGTCTGTGTGGGTGTGGGTGTGGGTGTGGGTGTGTGGGTGTGTATCTGTGCAGTTTATTTTTATTTACATGCCATTTGGTTGAAATCTGTCTCGACTGTTTGCCGCAGTGTGTAATTGAAAACTATTGTTCTCCAGAAATTAAATGTAATTAAATATAAAAAAACAATATATTTTGCGCATTAATGTTGTTGTTTATTTGTCTAACCAAATGCTAATATTTATGGCATGTTTGGCCGTGCAAATTAATGGCGCAAACGATTGCTCGCACGGCTCTAAACAAATAACATAAAAAATGTTGCATATTTCCGTGCGCTCTGAATGAGAAAGACCATTCAGCGCTCTTGGTTTGCAAATAAACTAAAATTAAATTATGTTAAGTGCATGGGCAGTCTGATGCGTAGGCGGGCGAAAGGCGGAAAGGAAATATAACTCGACAAATCAAGTGCAGTTGTCACTAATGAGAGCAATTAATACACTTGAATTAATTACTAAATTGTGTTTTGTTAATTGCTTTTGAATCTACTCGTAGATCGGATATTTAGCTAAAATATAATTACCATATTTAACTTGTTGGAAACTATTCACCTTATTGAAATGCAAATAATATATACTGACATTCGTTTATACTATAGTATCTTATTATCGGAACATAAGTGTGATAGCTTGCTAGTGCTAGAATTAGCTTAGTTTCACCTTTTTCTGATAGACTTGAAGCTGTGGTTAACCTGTATGTTTATAAAGTTAATTTTTTGCTCACTAAAGCTTTTTGATTGAGCTGAAAATAATATAATGTACTCGTTAACTAAACATTGACCGCTTATCACTTGTTAATACTGGTATTATCCTGCTTTTATTTTTAAATTGGGCAGCCAATACTTTGCTTTATATTTTAAAATAAAATACCATTGCAAATCGTCTGCTAACTCGTAATAATTATGCACTTAGCAATAGCTGAATGTATAGAAATGTTCCTAATTTTATTGTTAAAATATCTATTGGCAATTTTTTGAAAAGAACAAACAAACTAATATTGTCAACTGAGATATCAAACTGCCCACCAAAGTGCACAAGAAACACATACAAAATGATTAAGCAGAAGAAACAAAAAATGTTACTTGAATTTTTGAATGAAATACGGTTTACTACGACTACTGTGTGTATTTTTTTTTAATTGGAGTTTTACATACTCGAGCAGCAATTGGCGCAGTGTTGCTTCATCTTCGCCATGACATCTCAATCTAGACTCACGATCACGATCATGTGGGTTGTGGCGTCTTTCACGCTTTGGTGCATAACTAAAGGAATGACGATAAAATCGGCCGTTGTTTATATTACCACCGCGACTGTAGGCGTCTGTGTAAAAGACATAGTGTATAAGTTTATAAAGTGGTTGTTGAAACGGTTGTTAAAAATCATGATTTATATGCTTAGATAAATAGAGATTTGCCATCAAAAATAGTGTTCTGACTGCACTTCAAAATATTATTAGAATTAGAATTGTATATGAAAATCCGGGTAGCAAAAGTTTCTTTTTAAATTTAAATTGACATTTTATCATTAAACGAAAAACCATGATTTTTAGACTAGTGTTTGATTGTTCATTTGATATAGTAGAATATTATTAGGTATACACACCTTCGGGTCGCAAACGTACGGGCGGTGAGGTCAGCTTGAGTTGTGTAGACGTTGTTGTGGGCGGAGTCTTACGTCGACCACCAAAAACATAATCGTAAGAATCTTCGCTCAAATTGGACACTGCATGGGCACACACATACACATATATCATATATATATAAATGACTTAAATCGTTTAAATTAGGCACACAACTCAACTAAAAAATATGTTACTAGACTTGTACACAAAATAGAAACAACTTTTAGTTATGCTAGAATAATGTATAAATAAAAACGCAATAGCACACGAGAATACACTCGCTGAATAAAAATATTAAACAGATAGAGCAAAGCGGTGACCAAAAAAATATTAAACCTAAAAATGATTAACTTAATTTTATGTAAAAAAATTAAAACATGTTGTATCCCTTTGTAATCATCTTTTTTTTGGGTTAATCTGTTCCCTACATTGAAACTGGAATCGACCAAGTTCTTTGTATACTCACTCTACAGAAAAATCAACCAAAGGTATAAAAGTTTGTTCGTTCGTTTGTTCGTTTTTAATAGAATTAAACATATTTTAGTTTTGGGCAAAAAGTTTTTCATTGCGTTGTTGAATATATGTATGTACAAAGAAAGAAAGAGGAAGAGAGCACAAATATATTTGTAGTTTGTTAGCATATTGTTCTGTGTATTTATATATATATTCTTATTGACAGATTTTCGTTGTTGTTGTTGTAGTTATTGTTGAACAGACAATGAACAAGTAGAGGCGGAAGAAGAAAAGTAAGTGGAAAAAGAAACGCTGCCGTAAATAGGAAGGAAGTAAGCAACGACAAACGTTTAAAAGTTCACTACGCACAGCTGTGGATTTCAAATTTGTTCTTTTTTTTCAGTTGCAAACATTTCAAAACACAGCAAGGATAAAAATTAGCAGAGCTACTACATGAAAAAAGTTCGTTTTGTATTTTTGATTTCTTTTTGGTTTTTCATTTTTATGTACAAATAAAAATTGTTTGATTTGTATTTTATTTGATATACTAGGTATGTATATACTATATAGTAGTCAAAAAGTTGTAACACAAAGGCAAGCAGAGCGACATTTAATTAATGGACGACTGTTTGACTGATTGGTTTTCGTTTGGGTTTGACTGATTGATAAATTGATTGACTGATTGTTGGATTGATTGACTAGTTGACTGGTTGATTGGTTCATTGGTTGGTTGGTTGGCTGAATGAAACTGTTGAGTGCAGGTGAGTGGTGGTGGCTCACAAAAATGCTAAACAAAAGTTACCAAAAAGTTTTGCGAGTTTGTTTGATTTTTTATATTTTTTTATTCAGGGATGAAACGTGTGAGTGTGTGTGTGGGTGTGGGGGCTTAGCTATTACGCTTTCAATTATGATATGTAGTGTATGAAGATGTACATATATGTATGTGTGTGTGTGTGTGTGTTTTAGTATGCAAAAAATCAAATCAAATACAACGGCAATTATGCAGCAAACAAATGAAAAACTCAATCTACACAGCAATTGAAGTTGTTGCATAACGGGCAATCAAACCGAAAACCACTTGGAAATGGAAATAAAATTGCACAAATACATGTATACACACCTATAAACAAAACACCACGTATGTATGTGATGGTATAGAAAGAAAAGAAGAAAAGTAGCAGAGAGGGTAAAACTTTTCATACGAGGGCTAAAAAGTAAAAGCAACAAATATATGTTCGTATGCTTTGTTTTTGGCAGCAAACAAATAAAAATTCATAAAAATGGCAGCGACTACAACAACAATAGCATAGCAACAATAAGAACCAAAAAATTCAGAGAAGAAAAAGAAGTGTTCAGTTCAGTTGCTGTGTTGCGTGCAAAGCAAAAAAAAAAAGAAAACAACTCCTACTGAATGTTAACAAAACAAAAAGGAGGAAAAAAGCAAAACAAGGTAGCAGCAACATGAACAACAATTACAACAATAACAGAGACTCATAAATGTATATACGTATAATAATGGTAATATCAGAAACTTAAAGAACAAAGGTTTAAGAAAGCACCTGGAAATACGCTCAATGGCTGAAGCACTTGGGTGGAACGCAATGGCGGTGGTAGAGGTGGCAACTGTCCAAACGGATCTTGTTCGTTTGAAATGGAAGACGTTGGCGGTGAGATCATCGATATATCACCAATAGTCGCCATTTCATTATTGTGGCCAGCTGTAAGAGAGTTGAGCAAAAGTTACGACTACAGCCTTGACAAAGCATAGAAACAAACGAACAAATTCACTTCACACTCACAGTCACACTCACAAACACACTGACACAAGCACTTAGTTGACATCAAAGAGCCTGGCATTTAAAAGGATTTTGGCCTCACGCTTTACGCTCGAACAATCCTCTATATATATATATATATATAAATTATATAATTATAAAATATATATATATATATATATATATATAGTATATTTTCGTATATACTTACTAATATAAATGTATGAACACTATGGAATATAAAACAGATTTGTTGGCCAAAAGCTGAACTGGTCGAAACTTCACTTTCAAAATAGATCTATTATCAAAATATTTACACATCCACAAATGTAGTAGATACTATATATTTTATTCGTTTGATTCATTTTAAGAGACAGTGTTAAGGTATGTTAATGGGTTCTCTAATTTGAAATTTTAGTCGCTTTCAAAATATATAAATAAATATAAATTATTTTTAATTTTAAAATAATTCTGATTTTTATTTTCATTAAAAAGAATTTATATAATTAGTTATATAGAACTACTTGAAATATTGATTGAAGGATTCTGCCTTAGATGCACTTATATTTTAATGCAATTAAAGTGTGGTTAGTATTATTATTTCTCTTTAACATGTCATTATATTTTTCCCATTTTATGATATTTTTTAATCAATTGTGTTTTAATTTTATTTGTGTTTAATATTTCATTGGTATTTAATTCTATTTCCGGTAGGTTTAAAGACTTTTCAAACTTCATATAAGCCGGCTTTGGGGTGTCTATTCTGGGGAAGGGACGATGGACCTTTTTGTTGATGAATCGGGCTTATGTTCCATAGTTATGAGCAGCGTGTATGTATGTGTGCGTGTGTTTGTTTAGCCAAAAAAAGGCGCGCTTTCTCAATTTTCGGCACACGTGGCAATGCCAAGGTGTATACAAAATAACAGAAGCTACGGCTACAACAACAAGAACAACAACACCAACAATAACAACAGCCGCAGCAGCAGCTACAGCGCGCCATATTTCGCACATAAATTGTATGCCAAGTCCAGGGAGCTGCACGATCCATGCATGAATGCATACGCAAAGAGTTTATGCCGCCGATGCTGATGCTGATGCTGATGCTGGAGCTGAGGCTAAAGCGGATGCCACCGGTGTGGCTGCGGCGTTAGCGCCTTGGCAGAAATGAAACCAAGCGAAGCGCACGCACACACAATCCACAAACAAGGCTAAAAGCACACATATGTGTGTACTATATGCGAGTATGAGTGAGTGTATATATTTGTGTTCATTTTCTTATGGTCCGTATGCTTCTGCTTCTGCTTCTCCTTCTGATTCTGCTGCTTGGCTTGATTCCAGAGGCCTGACCTGCGTGCCTTTGCATAAAATAGATTTCCATTTTGATTCGCTCAGAGCACAGCAACAAAGAAAGCGGAGCACACTGAGAAATCGCCATTAAAGCATTGTTGAGCCCACAATACCCTACCATATAGTACACACATTTAACTGCTTAATAATCTCTAGCAATCGAGATAAGCGATATGATGTGCCGGTTCAACTGAATGCATTTTGAAACTTAAAGAAGAACTTTTTTCCCATTATTTAAGAGTAAGTAGAGTTGTGAGTTGGAGACAAAGAGCTTAAGACAAATAACTGTACGTTTCAAATAGTTGGGGCATACTTGGAGTTGGGTGCATGTAAAATAACTCTGTTAAAAAATTCCACTGTTGTTGAAGTTTATTTAATTTTTCAAATTAGGAACGATTGATGCTTTTCAATAACATTTTGTTCAGCGCTGAGTGTCGTTTCAGATGCAAATTTTTACAGCCTTTTTGGCATTGAAAACACTTTCTGCACACCATCTTCTATTCATCATGTTCTTTCAGCTCCTATTCTATTTTTTCCCAAAGAGACACACATTTGCTCCTTGAAAAGTTCGATAGAAATTTGATTTTCAAAAAATATATATTTTATATCTTTCTATCAATAATAGAATTAAGTCAAAATTAAATCATTTGTTCCAGCAACTGATTCAGATTTATTTGAATAGATTGTGAATTAAATCAAAATCATTTGCTGAATTATTCATATTTTTATCTGCCTTGCAATAATTGGCTTCTTAAATAAGTAATTGCCTGCTTGCTGCCATTTCTTACCCACTTGTGGGTTACATGTTCTTTATTGGTTTTAAAACTTTTAATAGAGGGACCACTTTAGAATCAACTTGTTAATGCTTTTTCGCTCACTCTCTGTGCACTGCAAATTACGTTCGATAACTAATATGCCTGCTCTTGCCGCACAACGAGGGGTCGGGGGCGTAGAAAAGTTGCGAGCATTGCTTGGCCACACTAAATTTTTTCACACACACGTTTCGGGCTTAAAAAATGCTTCACTTCTTGCGATAAATGGGCCACTTGCCGTTCTGTTGTGGCTTCTGCCGTTCGTGCCTGTCACAGCAACAACAACAATAACAACCACAGCAACAACAAAAGCAACAACAGGAATCGAAGCAGTAGCAGTTACAACAACAATCGAGGCAACGGTAGCACCAACACGTGCAGCTTTTGCCTACGGTTTGGTATTTTGAATTTTTATTATTTGCAATTTGCGTTAATGTTGTGGAAAGAAAGAAAGAATGAAAAAAAACGCATGTGGCTGTTATGGCTTTAGCTTTAGCATGTGTCTCGCTACCCATTGGCATATTGAATGGCCATTTATGCCGCACACACACACACACACACACACACACACACACACTAATGACCTTTTCATGTAAGAAATGTGTGCGGCGCAATGGCAAAAAAAAAAATGGAATCAACGTGTGTGCAAATTATAAAAGGCCACGCAGGCAGGCATCGAAGCAGATCGGATGGGGGAGAGGGAGGGGCAGGCTGAGGGCTTGGAGAAGGGCTGAACGAGCGCCTGATTTTGCATACGATATTGACAAAATGATTTGTAAATATTTTGCAAGTCATTAGTTTCAGTCACTCAGTCAGTCCAGTCACATAACGTCGCGTTTGGTTTGGAATCAGGTATGGTTTTTCACTTCAGATTGGCACGCCAGCGAGCTGGAAAATGTGCGTGCATTTCAAAAACATTTCGGAGCGCATGCAATGCATTTTTGCACTTAACAGATTAAAATCATTTGCATGACACGAAGAGACGCGCCATACCGAACAACAACTGCCACAAAAACAACATCAATGCGGCCATCTCACAGTGGATTCAAATACAGCTTAGAAACAATTATGCGACCAATTGCAGCTAATCACTGCAATCGTAGTTAGGTTCTATGATGAGAAAATACCAATTTATTGATATTGGCAGCTAGTTTCCATCAAAGAAAGTTTAAACTGCATTCAGTTGTGAGGAAGGCTGTCATGAGCAACTCATTCATTCAGTCTTCCATCATTCGGCTTAATGAGCAGCTCGACTGGAAAAATAGTCAGCAGTGCTGTACAAATCTGTACGAATAAAGTGGGCAGATAGGCAGCTGAAGGACCAACAAAGCTCCATGCATTCGCTATCAATGTATAGCCGTTGTATCTTTTCAGTAAATACCATTATAAAGCGTATCATGATAAATAAGCTACTTCTTTCCTTTTCAACAGTATATCGAGATTATTGCAATGTCTCACCCAAGTACTTTTAATTTTTAGTTATAATAGTTTACTTGTATATTTTGTGTTCATTTATAATCTAATTATCAATTGATATTATCAACAAATGTTTTCAAATATTTACTTTTTAAATCCAATTAGGACATAAGCATTTTACTTTCCCACATGGGAACAAGAAACAATAAGCAATTAAGGCCTTTATAATTCTCTTTCGACTGTACATATGAACAAATCTGTTCATTTATACTTGATATTTGTTGGGTTAATTGAATTAAAAACAGGAACACGCAAGACACTCTCCTATTTTTATTTAAGCCATCTATCTTCCTTTTTAAACAAACACGTTTTATTTCAAAAAAATATGAAAATATTTCATGATTATTTTTACTTTTTTTGTGTTGTGTGTTCTGGACAGGTTAATGAAATGTTTTCCCTTTTGCCTTTAAATGTTTCTCATGAAAAATTGAGCATTGCCAAAAGAGAAGAGTTATGCGAAGTTTCTATAAACCACATTGAAGATCCATTGCTAACGATAAATTATTGCACAAAAGGATACATTGAATTGAATTTGTGGTTTTACACAGCATTATTGAAATTGGAATAGAGTCAGAATCTGGCTGAACATGTTTTCAATTCATTTAATTGAAAAAGCTACTCTGGTCTATATAGATTTGAATGTAAGACCACTGTGCGTCTGCACCGTCTGTCCGCAGCTTGGCTGGTCAGGTAAACACATTCCCGCACTCCCACACATATGAGTATTTATGCTGCTGGTGGAACTCTTTGCTGACACTGCACAGATTTACGTTGCATGCCATTTTCTTTTTAACTTCGATGCATAACTACGGCAACTGCTTCCGGCTTCAATTGCATTGAAATGGTGCCAGGTTGCCCAAACAAACACACATGCACATGCACATGCACAAATACAAATATACACAGTAGATATGTGTGTGGATTGGGGAAAACATAAAGATAACTCGTTGCGTAGGCGCTCGAGCATCCTGAAGAAGTCGTATAGAAGTTGCATGAAGCACGCAAATATTTGCTTAAATTTGTGCTGAGGTTAAGCTTTTTGTTTGTTTTGCTTTTCGGACAAAGTTGATGACATTCAATGGCCTGGACGGGGCCAAGCTGAACTCGACTCGACTCGACTCGTCTCGTCTCAACACAACTCAACTCAGCTCAACTGAACTGCACTAAACTGTGCTGAACTGAACTGAACTTAACAGAAATACAATGGCTCCCTTATCCTTGCCTCTGTCCGACTGCAGGTCTGACCCGCTGGGCTGTCTGGGCGGCTAGCTGACATAGAAAAATAGTTGTGGAAAAATAGCAGGGCTG